GAACATGGCCATTTATAGTTAAGTTTCCCATTAAAAATTGTTATTTTCCATAGTTATGTTAGTTTACCAGAGGGTAAATGTTGATCAAATTTTCAATAGATATCCGACTAAGAATATTATATAATATTTCTCAATTTTATCATCATGAAATCGTGAAACAACCAAAATGTTGAAATCAACAAACATCTCACCAAAAAAACACGGACCGAATGTCCAAGGCTCTTGAAGTCGTCACTGCAATTGCCACCATTGAGGTTGGGTTCAGCCCAGAGTCAGGGAAGAGGGCCTGGCAGTCGAGAACATGGGTCGTTTTCTTGATGAATTGTTGGTTCATAGTGATATAATGTTTATAATGTAAGGCACCCCCCTGTTGGTTGATGATGATATGGGAAATCTAACCTTGATATGTGGAGGTTTCCATAGTCATGGGGGTACCCCAATAGCTGGATGGTTCATAATGGAAAATCCTATTATATAACATGGATGATTTGGGGGTACCCCTAATTTAAGAAACCCCCATGTGGAAAAACATGATTTTGAACAGAACATGATGAGCAACATGAAGTTAAATATATTGCGTATATACATAATCATTATGGATAAACTATGATACTTGACAAAACAATATCTTAAGCAGAACATGGTGAAAGCAAGGTGGATTTCATCATCACGTGGACAACTATATGACAATCGTTAAAACAATATGTTCTATATACAGAAAATGATGAAACAGGGTGACATTTGGCTATGGGAAGTCATCCCATCACATTTCGATCATTTCTATGGAATGTCCATGAATGTTTCCAGCAGTTCCCCGTGTGAATTATCAACTTCCGTTCAAACAATCGTTGATTTTGTACGTCATGTTTGCATTCACCAAGCTGTTCAACACGTCAAATTGGGATGGTGGACCAGTGGACCATTCGAGTAGCGTGCACTACCACCTGGAGACATCGAACAGTTGTTATTGAATGTACCCTCTGGTAAACGTTAACATAGCTATGGAAAATCACCATCTTTAATAGGTAAATCAACGAACTAAATAAGCCATGTTCAATAGTTATGTTAAATTACCAGAGGGTATCCAAATAAGAAGATGTGGCTGTGTCTGAAAATAAGGTATGTCGAACCACACATAGGGAAACTGAGGTTCCAATCCATGGGATTGTGGAACACACCTATTTTCAAAGCCATGTGGATTCGAAAGGCGAATGGGGATTTTGATCATCATTTGCTGCATGTTTCAACATACCCTCTGGTAATTTAACATAGCTATTGAAAATGGCCCATTTAGTTCGTTGCTTTACCTGATTTTCCATAGCTATGTCAACGTTTACCAGAGGGTACTTTAGCCAAGAAAATTTATCAAATGCTCCATCCAACAAACATGGGGGATTTACCTGTGGGGGGGCTCGTCAGGAAACATTGCCAACATATACATTCTATGGTTTTTTAGGATCTCTAAACATACATAGGATGAATTACGTGTCTACCAGCATCATCAATTGCAGTACAGTACCCATTGACAATTGGGAGAAACTGTGCATGTAGCTTCTGAGTTCCAGAGTGGCCTAGTACGAACCAATGACAGGGCATGGCGATATACTTTGACCTTGTAGCTTATCCTAGAATTTGAGACCTAGGACCACCATGACCACCTTTGTCTATGGTTGGGTGGAACCAACATGAGCATTGTTCAAAATCCCTCAGTGTCATTCCATACTGGTTGGTTCAGAACGGGATTTTGCTATGGATCCCATTGGATCTATTGGATTATAAATTAATCCCCAATATATTGGGTAGTATAATCCACTAGAATCAACTCCATGTGTAATTGAGGCAGTTCTTTACCATACAGATGTAATCACTCAAGGATGTCTATACATATGTCATATGATGTCATAATGATCTATGAGGATTGTAATAAGATGTAATAAGTAATAGTCATTGTACCTCAGCAAATTGCTCAGCCAATCGGACATTCTTCAAGTGGGATTGTCAACATTCGAGCCAAGTCACCCAAAAACACCACGCTGCACATACCCTCTGGTAAACTAACATAACTATGGAAAATCACCATTTTTAATGGCTCAATCAACTATAAATGGCCATTTTCAATAGCTATGTTTGTTTACCAGAGGGTAGTCTTTTCAATCCATCAAATGATTGAAATTTCCTATTTGCGCGCCGCAGTGCGCCCATGTAGGGTGTTATCCCAAACATGTCGATTGCAGCGGTGTGACGAATTGGGCTGGTGAGGAGTCGAAAAAACACAGAGAGTCAAAAAAAAATAATCCGAGAAGACCATTGGACATCTGCTTGTTTGTTACATAGCTCTGGAAAATGGATGAACATGGCATATCTATAGATCTTAGACATGATAATTTACATAGACATGGTGATTTTCCATAGAACCTACCCGGTTCTCCCCCTGGAATTTTATTAGGTGCCCCATTCATCCACAATGACCATGGAGGACATCACAGGACATTTTCGGATGAATAAAGGGAGACTTGACCTCGACTCAATGGGAGATCTTCAGGATCCAACAGATGGAGGTACGTAAACGTACCATATTTTTGGCATTTTTTGGCCATATTTTGTGGGGATATCCCCTGACATAGGCCTGAAAAATAGGCCTTATATATGGTAGATTGCCAACCATCTACGTATGTTTTAGAAGTTTTAAGATCTTGGTAAATGGCTGAACATTTTACTGCAGCTTCAATTTGTGCGTATCGACCACTCACAGCCTAAGGCCTACGAATTACCGTGGCTCGACATCTTCCGAACGAAGCAAGCTCCAAAGACCAATTCTCCATGGATGCATCTCTTGTATCTTAACATTGCTGACCATAGATACTCTTCAGCTCTAGGCTGGTATAGCAGTTGCCATTTGTGGCGGAAGATTGAACATATCACATAGCAAACTATGTTCACCAAGTGCTCAACTCATGTTCACCCATCTTTTCCAGTTGGTTGAACCCCATTGTTGATACAATTAGTACACAAACTAAACAATTGGTACGCTATGTTTGATGTTAGGGATAAACAAAAATCTAAGAACAGCCCCAAAATAAGACAAACTTGACGGGGCTTGGCCAGCATCGCTGTACCCATGTTCGAGCAGCTCGAATGTAGATTTTGATGTCCTATTCAATGGTTAGAATGAGATGTTTTTTAGTATTCACTAGACTATTTTTTTTGTATCACTAGAATGAAATTTATTTTTGGATATTTTTGGTATTGGTTTGAAGTTCTATTTCCTTTCTCAAAAACAGTTGGACAGGAGCCGTATTATGTCGCAAAATATCCAAATATGTCATCCCCCAAGTCAGAAATCATCCCATGTGTGGTGGTGGTTTCCGTGGATTCCCTTACTAGTCCCATCTCATTATGCAAGTGAGGTCGCCAATGTTTTTACTCAGAATTGCAGTAGATATGTTGATATAGCGTTAACATATGATCAAACCCTGGCACTTGAAGACTTTGACACCAACAAAAACTGGCAAATGCTGCATGTTCAACAAAATTGTCAATGTCTTAAGGTTTGACACATCCCTATGTCATCTTCATTCTCCCATATTTTTCCCTGTTTTTTTCCGTATTTTTCCATATGTTTCCCATTTTTTTCCAGGATCCCATCCAGTCGGAATCCCTCGAGCCGAAACGCCCGTGCCGAAACGACGGTCCACCGCGGCGAACCAAGCGCCGACACCGCGACGAACCGCGACGTCGTTCTCGACCGGTCTCGCGCAAAAAGACGCGTCCAAAACGTCGCCCAAACGTGACGAAGTGCTGAGGCAAAGCAAAATTTGGAGATGTTTTGAGTATCAGCATATTACAAAATGATAATAACGCAAAATAGTCACATCTTCATGCGAAAAAAATGTTACAGATTACATTATATGCAATGTTGTTCTACTGTACTGTAATATATTGTATGAAACATACTATATAAAATATATTGATGTTGAATTGATGTTGAATTACTGTAATTTGTATTGTCATATATTGTATTAGATAAATGGAATGTGTATATTGAAGTAATTCAATCTAGATTATACTATATTAGTTCCCAACGCCGCCCCCAGGCAACTGGTCTCGAAACCCCGATTTTTGTTTTTTTAGGGTTTGGGGTGGGGGGGGGATATTATAAGGTCCCTGTGAACTTGCAACGCTCGCTGATAATGGCGCAAGAACAAAAGAGCACAAGGCGCAAAGAACAAAAGGTACCACAAAACACCAGTTGCCCAAGGGCGGCGCGACCTAATAGTTAATCTTATATTGCATTTTTATAGTATACTACATTAAATCATGTTATCATATATTTGTATTGAATATACATACCTAGACCCTTGACCACTGACCGTTTTTTAAGTTAACCTAGAAATTTGGATCACTTAGAAAAAAAGTAGGTTCTTGCTATATCCCATGGGGTTGTGATTTTGGGGCAGGAATCCACTGTATGGTGCACGTTTTCCTTCAGTCAGTTTGGGCCAAGAACAACTTTGGAGATACACCAGGTGAAGAAATCAACTACCCGACCTTGGAACAATATACAGGGTTATCAAGAAACATTATCATTCATTATCGCTGTGATTTCTTGAAGGGGGGATATAAATTCAGAACACTTTTTTCCCCCTCCTATACAAAATAATCAATTAAGATAAGTAAGGGACACCTCACCAACCATCCAGAAGGGTCATCCAGAAGGGTTGAACCGGTGGCCGCTGCCCATGTGGTGGCTTTGGCTGCTTCTCTTTTATCTTCTTTATCTGCCTTCAGGCCGGGATGGCTTGGGCAGTGAGGGTGTTTGGTGTGGTGGCCGTGTAAGGTTTCAAAAATATAGATCAAGGCCCATGCCAACAGGAAACCTATTCTTGCATGTGATTGGGCGTGAAAAAACTTTGGCTTGGTACTTTGGACTGCCTGGCTGACATTAGCCTATTTGGGATCAATCTGTGGGCGAAAATCTCAGCCTGCCATCTTTGCAACCCATGCCAGCTAAATCGGTTCCGGATGGCCCCGTTTGCCCCCACCCGAAGTCAGTGGTGGAAGCTTGGTTGAAGCACCCGGTTTTGGCTGAGCGATGCCGCAATGTAGAGCGGCTTGTTCAGAGTGAGGATTGCAAGGAGCTGAAGGACAAGAACGGAACGTTCATGAAGAAACCCATCGTTCCATCCAGAAAGAACATGATCAACAACTCAATCGTCCTGGAGGTGCTTGCCAAGGACATGTCGGCCAGAATGCGTGTTGGCGCTGACCCCATCGACGTGCTTTGCGTCATGACTTTGGGCTACTACGAGTCCAACAAGTACTTTGGCAAGGTGGCCAACTCTCTCAATCTGAAGGCAGTGGCTTACTCAGATGCATGGACCATTCACAAGATGGTGAGTCAGTTCCGCAGTCCAGTCTCCAGGTATTCATCCACCAGGGACATTTGCCTTGAATTACTCCATCTTAAATGGTTTGCCCTTCCATTCTTTGGGGTGATGTTGGACGAGACAGCAACTAATTCCTGTTCTCTACAATAAACACCGCTTTTACGGTGCCCCTGAAAAAAATATATTTAAACATGTTTCTAAACCATGGTTTCAGCAGGGGTGTTTTATATTATATATGGGATTGGGATTGTTTATGCATTTTCCATTGCTTTCCTCATTTCCTTAAACGCTTGAGGAACCAGAGCTCCAGGAGACCTTCAAGTATCTCAAAGCTTCTTATGAGTGGCGAGTCAAGGCAAGGTGGGATAAGAGGATAAGACATGACATGGTAAGGCGTGACAAAAAACATTTTATTGGACCACTCTTGCGTGCTCCCTTATAGGTCCACTTGCAGACTCTCATGGTGGAATCTGACACCCCCAGTGACACCACTTCGAGCCTTGGGTCTGGTGATCTTGGCGGTTCCGGCACTTTCAGCTTTCCTGACGAGTGTGCCGCGGAATCGCCACCCAACCTTGCAGAAAATCCAGGGATTTCAGAGAATGATCATTCTGCTATCCGGGAATGTCTTGACCACAGGTTGGCAAGGGCTGCTTCTTCCAACAATCTTCTGGCCCAGTGGGATGCGATTGAAATTTTGGACAGCCCGGTGAAGCCCACGACTGTTCCTGGTTATGGCCATTTGTTTGGCCCCACCCCCCAGGAGAGGTATGAGAAGTTGATGCATGCTCTTAACACCGTGGAAGCTAAGTTGGGTTCCCACAAGCCAGCCCCTACTGCTCCTGAGCATCTTGTTTCCCATTATATTCTATCTATTTTCAAATTTTCAATGTTGTTTTTATTGGATGGGATATTTGGGGGAACCAACATCTTTATGTTAGCTGTATATGATACTCACCCGTACCTCACCTGTCTTGGCCATTGTTTAAGGTATCCGAGCCAAGAGGCAACCGCCCCGGGATCTGACGATGCGGCCGTGCTGGGGGAAGCAGAGCCAAGCCCAGGACCACGAATTGAGCATTTCACATGTTAATTTCTGGGGTTTCTTAAATCGCCATCATTGTGTCACATGACATCTTAGGTCTTGGAAAAGTCTCGATACTTCAATGATGAAATTATCGTTCAAATTTGTTTTCTCCTCCTTTGTATATAGGCCCTGGGTGGTTTGCAGTGGCCGCTGGTCCATATGAATTTAGATCCCTTCGCAATCTTCGCCCGCAGGACCTGAACTCCTTGGTGCGGAGATGGTGGAGGCCACAGAAATTGACACCTTGACCTTGGAATCCCAGCCGGATCTTCAGCCCGATCCATTTGAGGGTGCCAAGCTGGTGACTATGGATGCCATGGACACTCTTGTCGTCGCCAACGACACCCTTGCTGGTGTTGAATGTGCTCTCGGCCTTCCGGAACCTGTGCCCATGGACCATCCAGCCAATGTCCCAGCATTGCACAGGACGAGCAGGGCAATGACCAAGGATGATGCGCCGATCCACTGTGAGCCAGGGGTGGATCCTGAGGCTTCAGGGCGTGCGAGTGCTGAAGTTGGTGAAGTCGAAGTTGGTGCTGTTGCTCCCGGTTTCCCTGTTCAAGCAGAAACTGCACCGGTTCCAGAACCAGCCGGCGAGTCCGCCGTGTCTCCAGTGAAGGATTGCTTTCAAACTTTCTCACATGTTCTCTTGACATTTTGACAGGGCAGCACGTCTTAATTGCAGTAAAGAAACGATGTTGTCCCAATTTTCCACACCATCCTGGGAACTGTCCCACGAACTATTTTTAATTTTCATTTTACCTTGCCAGGACCCAGTTACCAAGAATGACCAGCTTCGGAGGATCGGAGATGTGAAGGAGGCAAAGGCGAAGGCCAAAGCGAAGGCCAAAGCGCAGGGCAAGAGCAAGGCAAAAGCCAGAGCCAAGGCCAAAGCGGCGCCCAAAGCCAAGGCACGCGCCAAGGCTAAGGCGAAAGCCAAAGCCAAGGCAGGTGCCAAGGCTGGTGCCCGGCCACCAAGGGGATATGGTCGTCGAGGTGAACCTTTGCTGACCATCGATGATGTGTTGGAGGAACATCCAGGTGTGGAGCCTGCTGACGCCCCAATCATGCCACCGTCGCCATCCCATGGACGGCGTCCTGCCATGAAGCGGCCTGCTGCCGCATCCGCCAAGGACAAAGAGAAGAAGAAGCCTCGTGTTGAGACCACTGACGGCCTTTCCGAGCATGTCAAGGAGATGCTGGAGCAGGACCGCGTTCCCCACACCTTTGGTGGCCGTGGCTGTCCTGCAAAGGGCTGGGGGCTTGAGAAATACTGTCTTGTCGCAGATGCCTTTGAAAGCCATGTGGCCCCATCCCTGCCGGCCCGAAAAAAACACAAGGCTCAGGCAACCTCTGGCCAAACCAGCTCTTGTACTTAACACGTTTGCTCAAAGTGGTGGAACATGTTTATCAAATGGTTTGCCATTATTTTTGGGCGACAGATGTTGGTTTGATTGTTGAACAATTTTCCCATGCCAATCCAGTGGTTTACCGCCCGCTGCTGCGCAGATGTTCTTTTGCGAGCTGGTGGCCGCTGAGAAGCTGAAGGTTGAAAACTTCGACCCGATGGATTTCTCTTTCATCGACAATGCAGTGGGCAAGTGGGCAACAGAGTGGGCCAAGTTTCATCCTCATTCGCTTATTTTTTGGATTACAGTGTTCGTTTCGAAATTTTGAATACGTTTCTAGATCCGGTTTGCACTACGCAGGCTTACAGCCAAATCTTTTACATTTTACAACATGACTTCCCCGAAGGGTTGCCTGAGTAAAGCCCAGGAAGCTAGATGAGATGGGCGAAGCTCCTCCTGGTCGCCGCCGGCAAGATCGCCAGGTGGATGAGGAAGACGGGGCTGACATGCCTGAAGGAGGGGTTCCTGAGTCCTAACAAGGAACAAATTTTCAAACTTAAAGGGACGCCGTGTCTACTTCCGGGTAGCCTGGGGTTAGCTTGCGCTAGGGAGTCAAGATCTCCAGGATGAGATCCTGTCTGAAAAAGACATTGCGTTTGGTTTTGACCTTCAAAAGATGGCGACAGTCAACATGGGGGATTCCTGAACAACATTGTCCAGTGAAATTTATTTCTCTTGTTTCTCCACCGCGCTTTTTCACCTTGTAGCTTGTTGCTGGGAAACACCCCCTGGATCGGTGACTGGAAGCCAAGCGGGAGCGCTTATCTTACATGTGACGAGCTTCGGCAGCAGAGCGGGATGGGCAAGTGAGAAAACAGCTATTTGTCCCTTGTGCAGTGGCTCTAGTGTCGGGGTGATAAGCTTGTTCGTAAATGGGATGGAGAAGGATCTAGATTCCAAGGTGTTGTGTGTTTGATCGCCTCACACCCCCTCAGAACCCCAAAGTTTGAGGCTATACTACCTTACTTGCTGCCACCGCTGTGCTCCTGGCAGGCGGAGCCATGAGAGCGTTGCGGGGCCTCAAGAGGGAGGCCAAACTGGGCCTTTTCGATGATCTCAGTCTGGGCTGGCTTGTTTATCATGCAGGTAGCTATAGATGGTTTTGTCCGAATGGGCTTTGAAACGATATCATGTCGGTCTGCTGATGTCATCAAAACTGCTCTGTCCCATCTGTTTGGCAAGCGCTTGTTGGATCTGATTTGCAACCCATTGATGCTACAGCAGCCGCTGAAGCTGACAAGAGGGGCCTTGCTGGCCCAGTTTTCTCCATTTGTTTCACAATGCCCTGGTCTCCATCTCATGTTGTGCAGCGGTTGCATGCCTTAGGGGCCCCGAAAGCACCTAGCCGATTTCATCTTGTTTCTCAGTTTCCCACTTTGATAACTTGCTGCCATTGTCCTGGTTTATTTCCTACCATGTCCCCCACACACACACACACATGGTCTTTCCTCCAAGGTACTGGCCTTTGCAGCACTCTTGCTGCTATGGAACACGTCGGTGGATTGGACAGGGGAGGTACGGGTGAGCCAAACATAACCCCAAAAATATTTATTAGTATTGAAATTGAACATGAAACTCTTGTTTTATTCGGGTCTCTAGTGAATCAAGAACGTTTTTGATGATTTTCCCTGCAATCAGGATTATCTGTTCGTTGAAAGTTTTGCCGGAACTGCGGAAGCAACACGTCAAGTGCAGTCTTCCTTCCCATCTCGTACAACCGTGGCTCTAGACATCAAGTTCACCCCTACAATGGACTTAGGTACGGAGAGTGGAATGGGGAATCCTGGTGAAAGTAGTAGAAGCTTTCGTATTGTTTCTGATGGTGGTTATTTGAATCTTAAAAATGAAGCAATAATCAGGCATCGATAGTTGGTAATATTTGACAACAGTCTCATTGGACATGTGAGGGCGGCAATGGTAGCAGTACTACGTGGTGACCCTGATGGATTTATACATTGGTTGGGAGTTCAATGTGCTTCGTGGATTTCAACATCTAGGGGAAGTACAGGTAGAAGCCTCGCTAATCCTGAAGGTGCAGAAGGTGTACAAAGCGTGGAAGTTGCCAATTTCTTGGCTTGCAGGTGTGGCCCCACCAAAAAGGAACCTTTTTGGCAATTGATACCTTCGAATAATATGCGTTGTTTAACTCATGGTTTAACATTTTTTGACTCGTTTACATAAATGTTCTGTTTCATTGAACCATCATGTCCCTGGAAAACCCTGGGCAGGGTAGCTTTACATTTGTTTTCTCACAGTGGCCTTAACTGGCACATGGATCATAGAACAGCCACGTTCAAGTTTGCTTCTTCAACATTACCGGCTGCGACAGCTATTGGATACCATGGAGGCAAGCAAATCTGTATATAATTTGATGGAAGAACGGGTAGGATATGATATGGCCCCCCTCTATCCACAATCTATTATTTTTTACTGGTTTACTGATTAATGGACCTTTTTATTGGGTAAAAAGTTTTTGGGGCACCCTCGAATATCCCACAAGTTTGAACACTATAGAACTCCGAAATGATGCATAACTATAACTTGTGTTGACTTTTAGAAATATCACCTTTCTGGCCCAAAGGTTTTTGTCCTTGGGAATCCCTTTATTTTCAAAGCTTGAAGGACATACCCAACAATGTTTCTCATTTGCAAAGACTACGCTCTTTGCTGGGTGTGCCTTAATTTTGGCAACTCCTGTTCATCACATTCCCAAGGTGTTTCGTTGCAATTTCTGGATGTTTCACTTTGATGCGAAAACACCGAAGAGAACGTCCCTATGGTCGTCTAGTGCAAGCATTGGGCTTTTTTGGACTTCGAAGCTGAAGAAGGTAAAGTATGAGCAAGCTAAAAGAGAACGCGGTGCGGCCCAGCCCAGGCCTTGCCGATCTTACCGAGACGCTGAAGGCAGGGTGCGCTACCATGGCACCTCCGAGCTCAAGCAAACGGAGTTCCGGGTCTGGAGAATTCACAGAAATATTTCCCCTTTCTTCCTTCAATCTTTGGGGCCACATAGATTTTTCCATATGTTCGCTCAATTGCTTTTAAGGCAATACACGAAATGCTTCGCCAAGAAGATCGCTTCCCTTGTTGACCAACTCAAGCCTAAGTGTGATTATGTTTCCCACCATGACTCCGTGGATGCAATTAAACTTTGGGAGCAGTGGAGTTGGGATGACCGCTGGCTCGATGCCGGCATGCCCGCTTTCATCAAATATTTGTATGGAGCTCGCTCCTTGAAAATTCCCGCTGATTGGGCCAAAGTCCTACCCAAAAGGATTTGAATAACTCAACTGGGATTCCTCCCTAGAGGTGCAATCATATTTTCAAGAATGGCTTGCGGGGTTTGGATACAATATAATAACCTCATCAGAATTCTTTCTTGGGTGTGATGCATGGCCACAATCAGGAATACCAATTTCAACAGGGATGCGGGTTCCAACTCACTCTCCCTGGGCGTGTGGCGAAGGGACGTGGAAAAGGTGCGGGGACCATGTTTGAATCCCGGATGCCTGGATTCTTGTAGCCACCCAAATTCTCTTAAATAATCTGTCCACAAAAAGGGTCTTAACCATTATGTCTAGGTTTTGGCAACTTTTTGCAGCTTTTTTCACAATTCTGAACTGAATCACTTAAAAACACAACGCAAAACTTAAAAACACAACGCGAGCGCGCAAAAATATAACACAATCGCCTAAAAAAAATGAAGCGCGTAGATTTTCAAAACCGGACCACTCAAAAACACAACGCGGGCGCAGAAAAAAACAACACCAGCGCGCAAAAAAACAGCGCAACTTTCGTGTCATTTCGTGGATTCGCGTCTACACCTGTTTTGCCACTTTGTGTGGGTGATTTGCACCGATGGCAGGTTTTATGTAGCCTTCTTCAGCTGCTCCTGCTGCGTCTTAGGGTTTCCCTTGGGTAGTTTCTGTGTTATGTCGACCGAAGAACTTCGGAGCCGATTGTGGAGCTGCAGTGACCTAAGTGAAGCCATAGAAATTATGGATAAGACGTCAACGATGCCTTCAGACCCACAAGAGTTGCTCAAACTGGCGAAGGAGTCCCAAACCATCAGGGGGGGAACCATTTTCCAAATAGAATTTGTTGAAAGTTAAAACCAGCTGTGCCTATGTGGCCCTTTTTTCTTTTGAAACCAGGGATTTTCAGTCCCACGGTCAGGACCTGAAGCGCCTTGCTGAGAAAGCGAAGGCCGAGATTGCCGAAGCGGAGACCTTACCAGCTCAGGACGATGCGCTTCCTAAAGTGGAACCCGGGGTCAAAGTCGAACAGGAAGGCCTCCCAGAAATCGATCCTGTTGCCTGACACATGTCAAAAACTCATACATAGATTAAACGAACACCTATGACACCACTTCTACATATACAAGTCTTCTTTTCTCCTATGGGGTATCCAGAGAATCCCATTCATCCATATTCATCCGACCACTTAGGCTGCTACTTGGCCCTATGTCTTGGCCACTGGTGATTCAGGGCAGGGGCTGCCTGGCCTCTGTGACCCACTAGAGGATGAAGATTGGCAAGATTTGTTCCAGCACTACTTCGTGACCAATAGCCCGCCGCCAGATCCCGTGTCCACAGATGCCTACCAGGAAATGTTTTCCCCGGAACCCAGGGACACATATGCCTCTCCTTTGGGCAAACTGGATGAAAGCACAGAAGTTTCTAGCTTGCTGTTTTTTGAGCAACATGTTCAAATTTTAACTGCTTGTATTTCGCCAAGCAGGTGTAGTTTAATGGTTGTCTAAGGACGAACGCGCAAATGCTTTCCCTATGATTGGAGCCTTTTCAAGGTGGTTAGTTTTTGCACCCACAAACTTTCAAGCGGCCCAGGATAGCGGTGCCTTGACGACCACCCCAGGCAGCAGTGCGGGTGGCCTTTCCGATGGATCGGGCAGCAAGAGTGTGCCTAAGCAGAACCCCAACTACTTGTATATCTCGGATGAGGTAGGCGTTGTTCGTTCCACAAATGTTTGCTTAACTGCAGTCTCTGGAAACCCCTAAGGCTACCTCTGGCGCAGCCAAACGCAATCATGAGCTCATTGCCTCTTTGGGACTCATCGATGAAAATGACTTGGAGTTCTGGAGGGGAAAATTTAGGAGGACATGTGAGCCCAAGCGGGCATCTGGCAACTTGGAAATCCCTGATGACATTTTCCAGCAGTATCAATCCAAAGGGGCCTCTAGGGACAAGCTCTTCGAGCTGTTTGTGGAAAGTGGTGGGGACAAAGACCCTTTTCCGGTGATATGCAAACTTTGGTTTTCAATTTTCAAAGCTTCCAAAAAATATGTTGGATAAAAATGTTGGCTCTCCGCTTTCCCCTTGTCTCCAAGGATTCCTTCATCCAAGAAGTGCGGGTGGAACGATCCAGTGAGCAAGTCAACGAGTTGAACCGCGAGGGAGGTTTCTATACTGAGAAGGAAATGAAGGATATTCTGAAATTTCCCGAGATCCTTTACTCATATATGTTGGATTCTTTCCGTATATCCCAATCCAAAAGCAAGTATGATTTCCCTGCCCCTTCCCATTGCCTCAGCGACTTTTGTCCCACCTATCGCCTGGCCCAAGCAACTCAGGAGCAAGATTCGAAGTGCTGTTGAGCGTGGGGAACGGGATCCAACTTACATGGAGCTACCTAGCTTCAAGCATATCCTACCGTTCGTTTGCTTTTACGATTTGACATCCAGAAACAAATTGACACTACACAAATCCCATGGCCTCTTGGGGGTTCCCGTATATCAGCCTAGGCTGGATGAGCTTGACGAAAACATCGTCTACTACTGGTGCAATGTGCGAACTCGCGGCAACTTGAAGAACCGTCATGCCCAAGGTCTGCATGTTTCCACGACCGCCCAGGGCAACACAGACCGATTCAAGAGCCAGCTCATGAGCAACAAGTTCGATCTAGCGTCCATGGGCCATCATGGGCCTGCTAAGAAGGAGCAGAAAGCCGTGAAGGCAAGTTACCCAACAACCAATATATTCATTTGTTCATCGGCTTCAAAGTCAGTCCCCGAATTCAGTATAGCAGCTAGCAAATTCCAGGCGACTATCAGAACAAGTGCTTTGCATTTACCACCAATTCTTTTCGTCACGATTTCAATTCAATCTTCTACAGCAAAGAAACCTGGTCTGTATTTTTGGTAGCTTCAGGGCCCTCAAAACACCAGCACCGGTGATCCTGGCCTCAGACGCACGAGCTTGACTCGCACATGGAAGAGGTTCTGAATGTCCTGAACAAGATGGCGCCGTTTCTGGATAAACTCCATGCCAGCACGGCAAAGGGGGCACCTGAGCCGCTCATCCTGGCACCAATCTTTTCAAAAGTTGTTTGAAACACTTTTTGGTGACATCCGCTGCAAAAAATTGTGACCCATTTTCTATGAAGTCTAATTCCTGGTGCCCGGATTCCAAGGGCCCACACGTCGGTGGCAGCACTCTATGACAAGATGTCCAAGCTTTACGACAACATGACCGAGATATCCGCAGATCTTAAAGTCGGGGATGTCAATGTTGATAGTGAAGAGAACCTAGCCTTTTTTGGAAGAACAGCTCACGTCGTTGTGTGCTAATGATGGGAAATAAGATTCGTATTGAACATAGACCTACAACCTTTCTTTCTTCGGATGATATGACTCAGGATGGTCAACAAACTGAAGAAAGTCTATGCAGAGAGCAAGAGGCTGCCAAGCTCTTAGCCTCACAGTTCGTTCTTGGTCCAAAGTCCTCACATGCACAAATCCACCACTTTATTCCTCGGCCCGGCCCCTTGCCTTGCCGAGTCTGTCAACTTGGACTGCGACAGAGAAGAAGTTCAGGCGTGAACCTCGCTGACTTGCCAGTGTGTACATTCGTGTTGTTGCACCCACAAAATTTGAAGGCTTCATAAATTGGGCCAGCAGGGACCACCAAAGGAATACTCCACATAATGCAGTTCAAGACCATGCCTGCCTCTATTTTGCATTTCCACCCTAGCAGCAGCATTTTTCAGGACTTTGGCTCGCCGACCGCGAGCTGCCAAAGAGAAGCAGGACGAGGAATAGACGGACTGATAGGGGCCCGGCTGAAGATAGATATATTTAGGGGGCTTGCTTCTAAACAAATGGAAGCGTGGGGCTTTTTTTGCCTGGTGCAATGAGCACCAACAAGCGATGCTATCTCCAGACCATGCTGTTTGATCAGCGTGCGGAGTGTGTGTGCGTGTGTGGATGTGATCACCATGCTAACTTTTTAGCGTGATGAGACTCTGAGCTGAGCAAGTTGAAAACCCAAGAGAATACGCTGATGGGTTTTGGGTTCTGCAATTTTCATTTGCCAAAACCCTCATCGCATGGATTTCATCCTGCCAGGTGAGCCCCCTTCCAAAGTCAGCAAAACTGCTGAGTACCTGGCAACTTGTGTCGGGACTGGCGCGCCAACCTTAGCAAATGCCGGCCAGTGGGCGAGCTTGGGTGCTGGCATTTATTTTTCTGGAAGCGCTTGGTAATCTGAAGAAATTTTGGCTTGCAGTCATGAAATGTGATGACACCCTATGGCTAGAAGAACTATTAGGATTTCGGGTAGAGGATCGCCCCTTCTTGCCATCATGTGACCTATGTGATCGCAATGCTCGGACAACTGACAGCCCCTGGGTTGGCATAAGGTGTTCCCAGTTTTTGTTTCCTTTTCAAAGGCATTTCAAGACAAACCCGAATGCTTTCCCAGTACAGGGTCCGAAGTAAAAGCTACTGGTGATTGCTTTCATTTAAGGGAGGTGGACACAAAAGTCAGCAGGATGCCTTCCAGCCATCACCTTCCTTTCTGCCAAAATGTTTTAACCCAGAAGATTTAGGGGGTTGTAGAACATCCGCATTCATGACCCTCTTTGAAGTCAGGGTTCTTAGCTGTCGGCCTGTAAGGACCCCCTGCCGAAAGAATACGTTCCTCTGGTGCTGCGTGGTTGAATGATGCCTATCGCCCTGTTCCCCCTTCAGAACATGGTGACACCCGCCCATTGACACAAAACAGCAGCGCCTCAGCAAGACTAAAAGCTTGGTATGATGACAAAACAGCCATGTTGTTCCATTGGCTTTGCAAGATGGGGATCCAAACCATATCTAAGGTAGTGGTGGTACAGCGCTTCTTTTCAAACCAGCAGTGGGGCAAATGCCCAGGCTGAGCACTCTCATCTCAAAGGGTTTGGGAGATGACGGCCTTGTTTGGCTTAAATTGCCACCCCCTGCAGCCAGCACTGGCCGAGCATTGGCTTTTTGCCGGGAAGTCATTGATAAATTGTTGAAAAAAGGCCCTCATGTTTACAAGATTGGGGTGACTGCGGATCCCCTGTTCCGCTTTTATAAGCGGCCTAGCTTTGAGTCGTCTTCCCCTGGGTATTACTATTGCCATGACAAATTCAAATGCATGTATGTCCTTTATGCTAGTGCAACCTGGGACGAGGCCGCTTTAATGGAAGCTGTCCTCATAGAATCCCACAAAGGTTGCTCCGGAAACAGAAATGATAGGCCTGGGGGAGAAGGAAGGAAATGTGATGAAGGACCCTTCTTTACCTACGTGGTTTTCAAATCTGCGCTGTAATTTGATTTGATCCCCGCAAGGCAGAAAAAAGAACCAACGCTTCAAACTTGTCGTTTGTGTCAGCATGACTTCCTCACCTGACATGATGCCAATTTCTTTGACCGCCATCTCCCAATGCCCGCTGAGGTGCCTTGCGCTCGGGTGGTGAGCTTTGCCAAGAAGACCTTGGAAGATGCTGCTGGGAGCAGCAGTGCTGTGGTTTCGTGCCCCGTGGTCAAAGGTTTGAGCAAGCTCAGCACCAAGGATGCTGAGGAAAGGCTACACCCAATCTTAGTCCAGAATGGCTTGAGTTTACCCATAGAACTCACTCCTCTTTCTGGTGATTTGGATGGCTTCCCGCGGCTGAAACCATTGAATTTTTTGCAATACATGGCAAGCGAAGGCAAACTCAATCGACTCCTAGGAGGGAGGCAAATCAATACTGGTGGCCGGGACATGCTGGAAGAATTCTGGCAACGGTACGAAGTTGTGCACCCCGATTTCAGTTTTTTCCTTGAGGATAACAAGGTTGACAAAGGTATGTGCATACCAGTTTTTGCACATGCTGACGGTGGCCGGGGATACAAAAAATCTGAATTTATGGTGTTCAACTGGAGCTCTGCCATCGGAAGCGGCACTGGCAAAGCAAATCGCAAAGACAACTTTTCCAGCAGGCCGCTGAAAAGAAGAAAGGGCATGCAAGTTAATCTCTTGGGTCACACCTTTGGGACACACTTCATGTGGGGTGCTGCACCTGCTATGTGGCACAAAGATGATTCGCACTTTCAATCTATGATGACCGCACTTGGGGAAGATTTAAAAGAGTGCTTTGATACCGGAGTGTTGTATCAAGGGCAACGCTTGAGGCTTGTGTGCATTGGCTTGAAAGCTGATTTGAAATTGCAAGCCCGTGCAGGTCGACTAACAAGATGGTATTCCACTTGCAGGAAAAGCGCTTATGACCCTGCCAAAAAAAACCAAACCCTTGGGTACTGTTGCTGGCTTTGCCCAGCTGGCAGCATTGATTTTCCTTTTGAGGAGGTTCATACTGAGTCCCCTGCGTGGTTCAAAGCAATGGGGCAGTTTGCAGCCACACCACCTTGGAAAGATGGCGAAGTGAACGGCATCCTAGCCAACAGCTTTTCGTACATGGCGCAACCAGCCAAGTTCTACCTAGCTGATTTGTTTCACGTCTACTTAGCAGGGTTTGGCCAAGACCATGCTGCCTCGTGCTTGGTTTACATGCTCGGTGTGACCTTTGATGGGTCATCTGTTGATACACAGCTGGAAAGTCTGAATGCGGCTTGGAAATTGTGGAGGAAATTCAACAAGGTTTCCACTCACACGTATACTTGGACTCGAAACATGCTTGGCTTCCCCAATGCCACAACTTTCCCTAGCGGCACCTGGTCCAAAGCTTCCGATACAGCAAAGATCATGGAGTTCATTTTGTACATGTGCGATGTCTACTCTGACAAGATAGCTGGGGATAGAATTCTTTACTACATTCAAGTAGCTGGGACGGCCTTGGGAACATGCATGAAAGGGCTCTATGATGCTGATCTCTGGATAGAGCCTGGGTGCTATGAACTGTATATGATCTGTCCCCCTGATATTAAAGACCTCTCAAATCGTTCTATGATATATAAAGGTAAGCCTTCTACTACAAGACGGTTTTTGGAAGGTGTTTAAAGTCAGGGGGCAAGGTTTATGCATTTTGTTCTCTTCTCCCATTCCAAGGAACCCTTTTCGTGGATTATCCCATTATCCAGTGTCGGTATTCTTTTCCCACATGAATGCTAAGGAACCGTCTTTGGCTGGCCGAATTGTTGACAGCGGCCTTACCTTTTTGAGGGCATATGCGAAGCTTGCGTCACTTGCGTATCACCAACATCTTTACCTGTTTGTGTTTCGACCAAAGCTTCACTATTTTCACCACCTACTGTTGGAAATTAGTTGCGCATTAAATTCAGGAGGGTTGCCATTAAACCCCCTGGCATATTCTTGTTCAGCTGCAGAGGATTTTATTGGTCGTGCCTCTCTCTTAAGTAGACGAACTGCAGCAGCAACAACTGAAAGGCGGGTACTTCAAAGGTATCTCGCTGGAGCTGCAGATGTGTGGGCCCGGGAGGCTCACTAAAATCTGGGTCGCCAGGCATCACCACAGGCAGCGGCCAAGATGATGTCCAGAAAGTGCCAAAGATTTGGCCGTGGCAGGGAAAGATGGGTTTGTGGGCAAGAAGAAAGGGTGATATACAGATACAGACTCATATTGTTTGAATTGGAGCCAATCTTGGCGAAAACCTCAAATTTGCAAATTTTGTGATTTTTAGGTTTCACCTAGAAATCTGGATCACCGACCGAAATCTAGGTGCTCAGAGGCTCCAGGTATATATATATATATTAAGGTTTTACAGCTGTCACTTTGAATGATAATTATAGTTTGTACATGTTATATGTATGAACAAGATGATCATGCACAAACGTACATGTACATTTTTATGGTATGATATGATATCATGTTATGTTATGGTGTACCAGTATAGATACAATACCATAATATATATATATAATATTTGATTACATCATATTAGATTGATCATTCATATTACGTTATGATTGTATAATATACATAAAAAAATAATACAATAGTAATAGTATATAAGATATTATATGCTATATTAAAATATATAATGTCATATTATATTATATTATATTGTATTATATTATAATATATTATATTATGTTATATTATCTTATATATTTACATTATATTAAAATATATTATGTAATGTTGTGTTACATTATTCATATGAACAGGGCAACGTATATATCTGAAGATGGATGATTGCAAAAAGAGGTTGCATTGTGAGTCTATGCAGCCGGAAAAAAGAAAAACACACGATAGAACATAACCCATAGGATCCATGTATGCTATATATGGTAACATTTACCATCAATATACCCAAAATGTTAGCATATATACCATACATGGATCCTATGGGTAAACAAATTGATTTGATCTTACTCTTCTATTGGCTTCCGGACTTCGGGACCATCCCAAACTGGCTCACGAGAGAGGTGGCAACAGAAGACTTGAAAGTCTTCAGTAACCCCTTCTCCCCCAATACTAAACTCCCCAGAAACCATGGTTTAGCAGGGGATGAACCACATATTTGGGACCCTTTTAGCGGGTGTTTTATATTATATATGGGGGAATGGGATTACCTTTATCTGCTATTGTTTCAACTAGACCATATTTGCAAAAGTGAATTGGGTATGCCTCTGAATTGGTTGAAGGACAATCTTGCAGTCCCTATCCTGTTGGGACAATTGAACCCATCGAGCCAAGCCAGGCAATCAAAACCAGTCATGTCTGGGTATACCACCGTCATATGGGTGTGGACCTGAAAACAAGGTACAGTACCCCATTCCATCACATGCTGAATCAGTTCCAAGTAAATGGCAATTTAATGGGAAACGAAAACCACGATTTTCAGACAAATTACCCTCTGGTAAACTAACGTAGCTATGGAAAATCACCATGTTTAATGGGTAAATCCACTATAAATGGCCATTTTCAATAGCTATGTTAAATTACCAGAGGGTAACCATTCTATGGGTGAAATCCATGATTTTTCAGACAAATCCAGCGATGCGCGCTGCATGGCGCTGTGGAACTCAACCAGCCATGCACTTGACATCTTGACATCTTCGGGATTGGGCTATGCTATGCTGCTTTGCCTCGATCAAACAATTTCCGCAGGCGTCTATTAAATTGTAGACTCGACACGCGGTAGCTATCGACGCGCAACGTGCGTCGTGGTTTTTCGTGCCCAACGTAACGCAAAGTTCTTTTCGGTGGAAAACCAATAGCAGAGTCGACCTGGCAATTTGCTTGGAGTTTTCGATGGTTTTAGGATCGGATCCCTGCAATTCAATGTGCCCAGTCGTACATGAAAAATATCATTAAATCACACATATCCACTTAATCCACTTGTGTATATATACACATGCAATCATATGCACGGTTAAAACACCATAACCCACTGAAACAAACTGGGATGCGCATCCAGTTTGACGCCCAACGGCCCAACGGAATTTTCATGATCCACTTGTATCCTCATGCAGCCTGAATGCTGCTGAATCAGACACCAAAACGCCATGTCGGGTCGTCTTTCCCTGTTGGCCGCAAAATAAGATTTGGGGATGGGTCATATTTCCACTGAGATATCTGAGATATACACATTCTTTTTCGCCCATGTCAAAGATCAACATCCAACGCTACATGTCCACATGAAAAACTGAGGTGAAGGATGGTGAAGGGGTGAACGGACCCATCCCCACTGCTGGCCGGCAGCACATGTCAGCACGAGCACTAAGTCAGCACTAGCATACCAGGCCACCCTTCATGTGGTAATCCCGTGATTGAAACTACATTCTATTGATGATGTGGCACAACCAACGCCCGACAAACAAAGGATCATACCATATCAAACCGCCAAACACAGCGGGTGCATTGCGAGGAAAGATTACGATACAACTGAAATAATCGTTATATACTTGCCTGCTTCTATGTTCATCCCACTGCACAACTGGTTGATTCTTCATGGTTGCCAAGTCCCCTGTAGGGACTAAAGTCATGGTCACCTTCCACTTCCCGAATGCATATCGCATCATGGGTGTGTCTGAAAAGAGGCTATTTACCCCTAAGTTTCCATGGTCACTCAGCATTTTCCATGGCATTCTCGCGATTCAACTTGGGGAGCTTGTACCCCATTTCCAGAGTATGGAATAGGAGGAAATCACCTCCAAGTGGGAAACCATGGCTGCCATAAACCATGACTGGGGCACCCCTTGGAAAATTTGGAAATGGTTTGTTGGGTTTACCACATTATTGACCAATGTCTGTGGGCGTGGTACCCCCCATTGTTGAGTTATAGATCCCATGTGCACAATTTCGCTTTCTCACGGGTTCCCCTGGATGCTTAACAGATCACCTCAGAGCCTTGAGGACTGAGCCATTGAATCATGAACATGTCCGACATGAGGAACGAATTGCGTCCTCGGACCTCTTGGCCAAAACAGAGCTGGCGTGTCATCATATTGGTTGTTCAATTGGGGAGTTACCCATCTGCCAATCGATAAGTGGGAAACGAGCAGGCCACTATGAGTCTACGAATCAAACAGCGCCCAGCAGCTCCCAATTTGTCAGGTTTGACCCCAATTTGCTTCTCCCAGGTGTTGTTGGTCTAAGTCTAAATCTGCATTTTGAATTGGATTACTCCACTTTCTTGCTGAGGAGCATCTCCCGTGGTTTGTGAGTTTTACAAGAATATCAATCATCCATTTTCATGAATTGATAAACCTGTTATCTTCTATTCCACATGACAAATCTTAGATATAACACTCACCCCAAAAATGTGAATGTCTCTCTCTCTGCATTATGTTCCTTCATGCTTGACCAAAAACACCAACAAAACAATCCTATCGTAAAGCATCCATTTACCAAGATTTCCCAATTTCTGTTATAGTGTCAGGTATGAAAAACATGTTTCTCAGTTCTTAACCATAGAGGTAACCATAAAATCAAGATTAACATAGATTAACCATTCAATTACATCATCATTAACTATTATCAACCATATTAATCTATCCCTTAGAGTGGGAAACAAGTCCCAAGTCAAGCGTCGCGACGCTCAACCGCCCTGTCTGCCGGCAGCTCACCACTTCAGACCGCACAGGCGAAACCTCCAGCGGCGCGGCCTGCTGCATGCTTGGTTTAAGCAAGAAACAGATAGAAAAATGGGATATTATGGAGATATATGGAGATCAGATATCTTATATCATGATAATACATTATAATCATCATTCACCATCATTAACCATCATGGTATCCCATATATTGGTGCTATTTCGAAAAATAAAACGGAGATATCAACACCGAAATTCTGATGACATCCCAACAGTATATGGAATTCACAACCGGGCGGGACAGCCTCCAGTGACACAACGTTTGGGGAATGGATGAAAATGGTCCTTTTATAGATGGTTTACCTATGAAACATACTGCTTTTCCGTAGCAAACTCTTAGTTTACTAGATGGTATTCCATCAATCTGAAAAACATAAAATAGTTCACTAACCTGAAGTGTTGGGCCATTTTTGGGGATAGGTACCCCAATCCACCCCAATCCCAGTCCAATTTCATGGTTGAGAATGCCACCAACCCAACAAACACACGTTGTTGGTGTCCAGCAAATTACTTTTGGACACGCCCATATCCAAGACATTTCCAAGAACTGGTATCCCCCATAAACAGAGCTTTTAATGGGTAAATCACATGGGAAAAATATGGGACAATCACATAGTGAATCTTAGATACCTGCCAAACAATCATGATTAGCTGGTTAAAGGAAGAATTGTACCATAGCAAAAGATGCAAAAACACAAGTTAGTATCTAACAAGTTGGTTGACACAGTTTGAAGTAACGCCCCTTGAAACAAGCAGGTGTATCAAGGTATGAAACCCTGTTGAGGAAGCCCTCCAATCTTGGCTAATCTGAAACTGAGAACTCATCCACACAAAAATACACGTTTAGCTGGATGTATTCTGTTCCTCCAAAAGAAAGGCAACCAATGAGTTTTTCCTACCCCAGCAGTTGGTTTACTCAGCAACAAGTGGGAAACTGGACTTTGCTGACCAAACATGAACAAACAACTTCACCATCTACCAAGACAAATTAACGAAACTTCACCACCTACCCATGTACAAGAATTCATCCACCAAAACGTGGAAAACCATAACTTGTTGTTTGCTTTTTAAAAAACCGTAAGAACAGTGTCTCATATAGCCCTCTGTGATTCCAGTCATCAGAATGGGATTCCAGGGGTAGAGAAGTACCTTCCCCAGGGCTCAAAAACAGCCACTGCTATGCTGGGTCACCCTGATACCCTTCTGTTCACACCACTACAGCTTAGTTACTTAGTGGATGCCTCAAAAAAATGATAGAACATCAACGAAATCACCAATTTCAATATTATTTTTGGGTTTCCCACAATATTTTAATGGATGGATCGGGATGGAAAACCTTGCGAACATGATGTAGAACAGCAAAACAACAACAAAAACACTATTATTAACCACTATTAATGACTATTAACCATAAACTTGCACAGCTATTAACCACTATTAACCATATATTAACCATTATTAACCATAATCTTCCAATAACCATTGTTTGTCTATCTTGGCTTCCCATCCGATGGCCTGCAGGGTGAAGAACCTGGGCACTCCACCATCGCCTCCGTGAAAAGGTATTGCAAGTCGAACGGAGGCATCCCATGGATATGTTGCAATAAACAAATTAATTGGTTATTAGTGGTTATAGTTATAGTGGTTAACTATTAATAAAGTTTAATAAGGGTTAATAGTGGTCAATCATGCACCAATATGGGTCTATTAACCCTTAATATGAACCAATATGGGTCTATTTAACATCTATTAACCCTTAAGTTTATGGTCAATATTGGTTAATAAGTGTTAATAGATGTTAATAGTGGTTAATCACTGACAAGAATGGTTCATAATGTGGTAAACCCAATCATCAACCCACAAAGTCACCATAAATGGGTGCTGGGTTTCCCACATGACTTTAGAAGAAAAATAGTATGGCAAGGAGTAAGCTTCAATATTACTAGACATGCCATACGAAAATTATCTTGAATCAGTTCCAAGTACCTTCCTCTAATTGAACACAACCGCTACGGAAACCATGGTCCATTTGGTCTGATGCTTTTACCTCTCAAGATGGTGACTTTCCAGTTCGCAATATAAGATCCTAGACTCTAGACCCTCCAAGTGCCAAAAACTACTAAAAGCTATTGTATAAAACATGAACATAACACTATTAAACAACATGTTTTACAAAAAAAAACAGTATTTTACCAGATGTTTCCCTATGTTTTGTAATCTTTCACCAATTTCGGGCGGACCTTCGGCGCCTCGAAATCCCAGCCAGGCACCTGAAAAGATGAAATCGACCACTATGAAACACCATTAGTTGGTGATGAAAACCTGTGGTCAAGCAGTGATGAACCAGTGGTTAATAGTGGTAATATGGTAGTATAGTGGTAATCACTGGTTAATCACTGGTTAATAGTGGTTAATACATTAATATAGTGGTTAATAATGGTTAATAGTGGTAATTTAGTGGTAGTATAGCTCAAATACCCCAATATGAATGAATATTAATGATATATTAATGACATATAATCCAAAGATCACCCTATACTCTATGTCTGAGTCGTGGTGTGACTGCGGTTGAACACCTACGTGGATGCAAACTCCTCCGGGTGAGAACGGCTCACTGCACAAACCGCAATGCTTATTGGATACACCCCCCATGTTTAGTCAAGCTAAATCCACTTTTTTTCATGGTGAACTCCACAAGACCGGTGCTGAAGACCTTTTTGTTGCTTCTTATTTTGCCCCAATCCAACTTTTGGATGCTTCAAACTTCAAACCCTGATGATTATCATCATCAAACTTTCAAGGATGATAGTCAACATAACACATTGTCAGCCTTATGATAACAATTTTATCATATTGGTAAATCAGCCTTGATAGTTTATCATCATCGTATTATCATGTATTATCAATCATCATTCAATATTACCTGGATGTTGGCTGTTGGATTTTTGTATACTACCATGTGGTTGGGAAACTCTTACTAGCTCCCTGGTTCCCAACACAAAACAGGAAATATGGATACATATTAACCACTGGAGTATATTAAAGAGCAAAAACACACACACACACACCCAGTTCAGTATAGAATCTCCAGCAAAGACTTTTTCAAGTGATGTTCAAAATTCCCAAGACAGACATTTACCAACCCCAAAAAATGTTGAACATGTCAAATACAATACTTGAAGCCACCACATATCAAATCATCTTCGATTTCTAGATGAACCCATCTCCCAGTTTGCTGGTCGCAAAGTGGGGTCCGCTAGAGGCACCTAAGTTGGTGAACATAACTCCCGTTTCACATTGGTTTATGATACGGCTGCCAATATGACGTCATATAGTCAATTGGTTTTCTAAACCATCCAACCTCACTGGGGGGCCCAACAATTGGATGGTTAATACTAAACACAGACATTCCAACCTCTGACCCCCTAAATCTTTAATGGTTTGACTCATACACAATGTAATACTGTGAATGGCTGCAAAATCCTGCACCAGTTGATAGGTGGTGAACATCCCATTGTTCCAAGGGCTGAAGAACCATCCAATGTGGTGCAGGATTTCGCAATATTCCACTGTAGCTATGCTACCTCACTGGAGGGGACACCATATCCCAACTTCTGCTAGATGAAATCCTATAGTTAGACTCATTCATATTTTTGGGATGATCAATGGCCATTTCAGGAACCTAACTCGGACGTACCTACCATATATAAGGCCTATATAAGGCCTACATAAGGGAATATGCACCCGAAATATTGCTTTATATATATATATATACGGTGCAGTACCTCCATTTAGGATCCTGACATTCCCATTGAGATGAGGCGGAAATCAACAGCTCATTTGTAGATGATTTAGCCATATGGAGGTTTCCTAACATGGAGGTACCCCCAAATCATCGACAATTAAACTATTTTAGTATTGAAACCTATGGTTTTGGCGTTTCCTGTAAGAAACTCCTAAATGGATATGGTCAAAATTCGGTAGCCTAACATTTGGAACCAATAGAACAAACTATTACTAAACATAGACATTCCAATCTGTGGTCAGATCCTTAGTGCCATACCATCCATAGCCATAGAAATATGTTGAAAAAACCCTCGGCTGAGCACGGCACCGCGCCGCGATGCAACACGGGCGCGAAGGTGCTGACTTTGGGCGGTCGACCTGGCGTTTGGGATTTTTTTGGCAACCATCCACAGTAGCTATGGAAGATAGCGATTTTTTTTATGGATTATATAAAACTATTGACAAAGAACCATCTATACATGGTCATCTTCTTGATGTGGAATCATGGGATACAGAAAATTAATCTATAAATGATTATGAATGGGAGTTTTTGCTATGGATCATAGCTTATTTATAGATTATTTACTGTACCTATTCGATTTATAGATTATTTACTGTACCTATTAAACATAATGATTTTGCATAGCTATTATGTTAAAGTACCAGAGTTTTTTTTTTTAATGGGTGTTCTTTTGACGGGAAAATCATGTATGAATCATCATAGATCTCATAGTCAAGTTACATCCATCCCATGATGGGAATCGACACATGTCATGGGGATGACAAAGTCCCTATTAATGGATTGATGACCATCCCCCAATATTGCTACGTAATCCAACTATTGACAATCGCACGTGTATGACGTGTATCCTCACACTGACAACCTGGTGTACAAACAAACCGATTTTCCCACCAGTGGTTTTAAACAAAAGCCATTGGTTGGAGCAACTGACAGTGGGCAATTTTCATGTGAACTTTCAGGACTAGGTTGTGGTCAGCGGAAAATGACTGCTGTTGGTGGTTGTTGGCTATGACATAAATCCATTGTCATTGGGATACGATTTTGCTTGGGAATTCTTTGTTCTTTGCAATGGGCACATGTTTGACAATTGGAAAGTCTAGTGGGCTAGAAGTATTAGAAATTAGTTGGAGTAATTGCTTATATAACAATTATATTCACACAGACTATAATGATTGGACATGTGATTTTATGTTGTCGTTGCTTTTTCGGTATAAAACTGAATCCATCACAACTAAACATTTATAGGCCCTTTCTACAGAGATAATCCCCACGGACAATGCCAGGGCCAGGTAATTACATAGTGATTGCCATTTCATGATGACTAATGTGGGTAAAACAATGTTCTAAACCATCCCCCACTTATCACCATAAATGTATGTGGTATGTTTACCATTCCCAGTCATGGGTGGTTTATGGCATTACCCACACTATGGGATAGTTTGGATATAGCGGCCATAGCCATCCCGAACACCACAACATCTTCCAATGGATTTCCCGCTGTGACTGTCCCATTGGAAAAGGTTTCACAACGCACCGAAAAAAACAAGGCCATGATATTTCAAGTGTGAAAGAACAACAACCTACCCTCTGGTAAACTAACATAGCTATGGAAAATCACTATTGTTAATGGGAAAACTCACTATAAATGGGTCATTTTCAATAGCTATGTTAGTTTACCAGAGGGTATAAACTTGTATGGATGTGACATGTGACATATTTTTTCAAACCTTCAAAAAATGCCAAATTGCCATTGGATGTGAACCTGGAAAAAACCACGGTGAGATATTTACGCCCCCGTGGCCACGATATTCTATCGTGAATGGGGGCTATGAACCAGCTTATAATATCTTATAATATCTTACACTTGAGGGGTTTCCACCTTGTCCATTCATGCTTCATTGTCCCACTTGGGGGGTAGTTATGTTGTTCCCAACAAGATGAAAACATCCAAGTAGGCTCTGGTGTCAGCAAACGTGGCTGGAAAGTCCTCTATGAGTGGAGGTTTGAATAATTCTTAGGAACATCATCGACCTAAATGGTGAATTGTCATGAATTGTCCACTGCCATGTTTGATTACTCGAGGGTATATAGTGTGATCATTTCACCACTTGCTAAAAACGTACAACCCTCAAAATCCCCAAAGTGACTAGTACTTGGTGAAATAATAGCATGACACAACCCAGGGAGTATATCATATACATGCAGGAGATGGCAAAAAAATGGTACATAGATGTCTGGTACAAGGTGAGGCCCCCCAGATAAGTTCGTTAAAAAAATTAACTTAACAATGGTAGACCCAGTAGATATCTATAGTTTTCATGGATTTATAAACCAACATCACTGGAAGGCCCAGGGCCCTTTTTTCATACCAGGACCAGCCCCCCATCACTTAAGTGGCTCCAGCATGCTCCCCACCTGGCTTCACGGCTTTCAGATCTGCATCTGGCAGACATGGCGAAAGGCATCGCGTGTCTACATCATAAAACAAGGTTGTGGATCTAGATGTTCAGAAACAACAAATGTTGCCCTCAATATGTGTCATCAAATATGGCAAGCCATGTACAAGGGCTGGCAATTCAATTTATCCACCATCATTAGGACCATCAAAAATGAAGGCTTATAGCTGGGAAAATCAACTATAAATGGTGGATTCTCCATAATGCAAGGGTTCATTTCTGAAGGGTAATATCTACATCTAAACATGTGCCTCATAGCCATATCACAGCCATATCATAACCATATTATGCATATTAGGGATTGTCTCAAAACAGGCTATCCCAAATTAGATGGTTAAAAAAAAAAAACATCATTTTCACCACTTGATTTGCCAAGTTATGCGAGTGAAATCCCCTATTTTCAGACACACCACATATCAAGTTGGTTCTACATCCCACACTTTTTGGGCCCTGCAGTTCTAAGTTGCTTTATGAAGTCCATGAATACTATAGTTATAAGTACCATTAACCATAGTTATTGCCGTGCTTTGCACCAACTTAGCCATCATAACTATCATAAATCAGCAACAAACATCCCATGACATCTTAGTGTGTGCTGCTTCAACATGGTTAAATCACACCATTTTCCTATGTTTTCCTATGGTTTTGCGGGTGAAATTGGGATTTTTCTATGGACTTCCTATGGCATCGTGAAAACTGTCCCCACCTGCTGGCGGTAAGCGTTCAGGCAAGGGCACCTCACGACGCGAAAAGCGCAGTTTTATCGATGTGCAGGCCCCACTTAAGTGGTTTACAAACCACATATATATATATAAACATATAATACCGTATATTATAATATATATAGATATATTAATATATGTATATATATATATTAATATAATATAATATATATATATCTTAGTATATATATATAATTATATATATATCATCATATATAAACCTATGTATCATAATATATATATAGCTATAAATATAAATACATCATAATATATATACATATATCATAATATATGGGATTATAAATAAATATATATATATATATGTAGATACATATATATATATATATATTAATATATATATATATTAATATCTTTATATACATATTAATATACATATTAATATATATATATATGGGCGGATGTTCCATGAATCTAACTTGTGTTATAAGCCATGTGCATCGGGGCCTGTCCCAAAGTTTGGCCTGAGCTGTCTCATCCTTCATGACAAGCAGTGATCATTTCTCTAAAAGTCAACAAGCTTACAATGTCCAACAGCCTCATCAATAGATTTCAAGAACAAGTCCCAGTTTTTGTTTGAGTCAGATCAAATTGATGACATTTCCAGGGTGTGAATAATAAAGGGGCACCTAGCAAAAGTGTTAGGTCTGTCTTTAGGCCTACTCAAGGAAAACCTCCCCAACATAGGCCATATTTGGGCTGATTCCTGAAATCAGTGCATAGTTATATACTGTAGGAATGGGGTTAAAACTCTGCCAGTGCGGCGATGTAACGTCGGGATCAAATAATGATATACATACTATATATATACTATATGTATATACTCCATATATACACTATATACAATATATATATATATACTATATATATATACACTATGTATATATATATACACTGTATATATACACTATATGATGAACAGAGTCCTATCTAGTTAAACATCCAGTTTTGTTGGATCTTGAACGCCCGTTTTCATTGGTGAAAATCACTTTGAGTAAGGCAATTCCCTTTTTTCGGCTTGGCTACCCTCTGGTAAACTAACATAGCTATTGAAAATGGCCATTTATAGTGGATTTTCCCATTAAAAATGGTGATTTTCCATAGTTATGTTAGTTTACCAGAGGGTACGTGTTTTTGGGTCTAAAACCCTCATCTGAACTTCCTCATATTAAGTATTCATTGTTTTGGGGGTTGGTTCTGTCCATGCCTTGACTTTTTAAACCAAACACACAGGAAGCAGGCAGCGCCTTTCGCTGCTTCAAAAGCTCCTCAGCAATGGCGCAGACTGTTGCAGCAAATCGTTTGCTAAGTTGGTTTGTAACTGGGCTTTCTAGGGCTTGTGGTGATATGACTAGAGTTGGTTAATAGACCAACTTATAAATAGTATTGCCCTTTGTATCTTGCAGACATATAATTACAATAATATTATATCCATATGCACACATGTATAGGCTGAATATATAAATTGGTTGGTTGCTACACCCAACAATTCCTAGTTGTATACAGCCACTAGTACCATGATGGTCCATTTCCCGTGCTAAAAGTAACTCAGCTTTCCTGCTGGTCAAGCCAAACTTATAGTCCTGCTTGGATGTGCAGTTCCAGGCATTGTTTTAGGTGAATGACCCTAATATAAGCCACATATCATGTGGGATATACCACTATACCCTAGTTATGTTAATGGCTTATCAACATCAACCAAACATAACCCAGTGATATGTGGGATATACCCTAGTTATATAATCTGGTTGGTGGTTTTAACCATCTTGAAAAATATGAAAGTCAACAGGAAGGATGACAACCCATATACGAAATGGAAAATAACAGTCATGTTTGAAACCACCAACCAGTATATATATATATTATCATGATTATATTCCCATTGAAATCCCCAATCTCTTGGATGGTTATCCCAACCAGCAATGCCATATGTGGCATATCAGCCACAACTTGGGTCCTATTGGGTCCCAACAAATCCACGGCGGTACCCAGCGGCGAAGTTCATGTCTCGAAAGAATTCATGGCGTCGGAGGTCAGCCCTGGGCCGGCCGGGGACTATTGCTATGGGTCAAGCCATTAAGAACCTGATATGTATATATATAGTATATATGTAGTCTATATACAGTATATATATATACATATAGAGTATGGCTATAGGTATTGGAATGATTGGAATGTCTATGTTTAGTAGAAAAACCATTCAATAATTAATTACTCGGCCGGAAGTCATGAAGAACTGCAAAGCAATTCGAAATCATGAGTCACCACGGCCAAAACTTGAAGGCAAACAAAACATGTTTTTTCTTTGAATGGGGTCATCTGGTCTGCCAATGCATGATGCTGATCACATTGTCTTGTGTCCTGATACTGTACCGCGGATCAAACTTGAGATTGCAATCTTGGGGCTGATCATGTTGTCACCCGAATCCAAAACGGGGATATCGTATCTATATATATATATATCATGAGTATACATGTAGCCAACAATTCGCCAACCACTGAATAATTACATGTATTAAGATCACATAATACAATATATATATATATATAATACTTATATTGTTCATATATCCCCAGTATGGTTAGTTCTGTTAGTTGCATCGAGGAAATCCGTGGACTCCATTCACCCTGCCGTCTCTTGGAGCGAGTGACGTGGAGGCGGCACCCAGGCGCTTGCGCGGGTCGCGCGCCATGGTCACGTGGATAAAGGACCTGTTCACGTCACGTGGGGACGTCCCAAGAAGCGATATATTGATACTTAGTATATATATATAGTAAATATAGTGTGTGTATATATATATATAGTGTATAATTATATGGTATATACAAGTAATGTATATATACTATGCATGTAGTGTATAAATGTGTATATATATATATATATTGTATGTATAGTATTTGTAGTGTATATATATATATGCTATATTAAAGTATATAGTATATAGTATATGGTATATGGTATATGGTATATAGTATATAGTGTATAGTGTAGAATATATATATATATATCTAGTGTATACAGTATATACAGTGTGTATATATATATATATGTATAGTTTTTATAGTATTTATAGTATATATAGTGTATATAGACTATATATATAGACTATATATAGACTATATATAGACTATATATAGACTATATTTAGACTATCTGTAGACTATACATAGACTATCTATATATAGTATATATATAGTATATATATATATTATATTTATATATAGTATATATATAGTCTATATATAGTATATGTATATGTAGTATATTGGAAGTGCATCCCACTTACTAAGTGGTCTAATGGTTAACAACCATAGTATAAGCCAGGTACCCTTGACCACGTGTAGACCATATGATGCCGTTAACAACCAAACCGTAACTGCTTAAGGGATGATCCTCAAAGTACCAACTTTTGAAAAAGAACGTACTGGACACATCTACTGGATTAATTGTTAACAACATGTTAATGGTTAGAATGTACTGGGATATAACTGGATACAATGTTGTTTAAGATTTGTTTTGTTGTTCCTTCCAATGTATACATTTATATATATATAAATGTGGATTCAATAATATTTCAATTAATAGAGAATAGTCTAGTCAACATATCAAGAAAACACAATTCTGTTTTCAGGCATTGCCTGTAGGAACAGGTTCAATTGATCACTATCATGAACATGTGTTTTGTACTAGACAATGTATTATTTTGTTGAATTGCTGTAGTTAGAGATATATCTATACTGGCTGGTTCCCTGCTTGAACAAAAACACATTCTAGTGGTTTTGTGTTGATTCTCATCACCCCGCTGAAAAAAGGACATATATAAACATCTAAGGGAATGGCTTGGAACCACACTATACATATTTATATACATATTTACATATATATATGATTTATGATATATATGATTGGGGATGAAATGGTACAACCCTATGGGATGCTGGGAGGGTATAATCATCTATAGTATTGTATGGATTTATATGTGCAAACCTTTGCCATATGAGTAGGAATATTCTGGGGAAATATAGCTCTGACCACCCAATATATACTTGAACCAATAGCAATCTTTACACATCTATAACCATATAGAAATAACACATATCACTATTTTATCTATTTTAGATTGTTTCAGTAGGAATTTTAACGTTTTCCATCTTTTTTCGGGGCGTTGCTCTGCCATTCTCTCCTGGTTGGGTTGTGTGGTCAACCAGGTTTCCTGAAATCAAGTAGCCCTTTATCGCTGGATGGTTTACCCTCTGGTAAACATACACAAAACGATGGAAAATCACAATGTTTAATGGGTAATTCGACTATAAATGGACATGTTCAATAGCTTTTTGAAAGTTTAACAGAGGGTATACTGGAAAATCCCAACAACAAATGATGATAACTGGGGGTACCCCCATGACTTAGGAAACCTCCAAATAGGGCAACTCTGAAATGGGGCAATTCTCGTCAAGGCGCTGTGCAGCAGTGCTCAAGACGGATGGTAGCTCCAATTGCGCATGCCTCACATGAGAACGGAAGAATTGTCTTGTCTCCCTACATTCATTCATACATTATATCCGGGCTTTGTCTCAAACAAGTGTATACTGTATACTAAACTCCCAAACCAATCTAAACCAACTGGTTGATGGAGGGTCCTGTGAAATTTCCCTTCAAACGATTCTGGGAGAGGATGGAAAAGTCGTCTCAGACCACAGCCAACCAGGGAATTTCCAAGCCAACCAGGTGCTTCAATCACCATCCCGGGATGGAAAATTGAAAATCGTCGAAACCACCAGCAAGAATTTTAAGTTGTCCATGATTCTATAATGGTCAAAAAATGGTTAATGCTGGTTAATAATGGCAAATAATTAATGGCTGATATAGTGGTTAACAGCATCTTTGCTGATGTTCTGATGTTTGATCAACATGCTCCAAAATGGTACAACATACATTTAAATACATGTTTAAGTTTTGCAATTCATTGCATGATTCATTGGCCAAAAAAACTGGGCCGGTCCAGTCAAGGTGATTCCGAATGTAAACAGCACATCGACATGATCCAAATATCATCAAGTATCTCATATTATGGGGACATCTTCATCAACATCTTTGCAATATGTTGTGTCCTCATATTTTTCTGTACCATATATCTGCAGTTTTTGATGTTCCGCATGTTTTGATACATTAAGATTCTTTAAGCTACACTAATGCACAGAGATTTCTCAAGGACACACTCAATTGCCACAAACCCTGCCCATGTGAAGGTAGTTCAGTGCCGGACAGTGCTGTTCCACCATGGTTTTCGTTGTGTCCTTCTTATCTGCCAGTCGGGGACGATAAAAAGGTCACGGCGCCATCATCCACTGGTCGCGGGCTCCCTCCCTGTCCCTGCCAAGTTGCACAATGTTTCTCTGCAAGGTCTCCTTCCTGAAAGTTTCCAACGAAAATGGCCAGTCGGGCAGATACCCTGGAAACAAGCAAACTGCTTAGGTGTGTCTGAAAAGAAGGGCTATTAGAGTATTATATAGCATTATATAGCTATGTACCACATTTTTTCCATTTTAATTGGGGAAATGATGATAAACCACTGAGGGGTACCGTATTTTTTTGTTTACACACCTGGTTAGTAAATGGCCCCCATTCATACCAAACGATGCTGCTTCTGGCGGATCTTTCGAAGTGTACCGTGCTGAAAGATCAACTAAACTAAAATATCAGAGGGATTGGCTGGGAACCGCAATGATAGGTGTGGGTCAGAAACATAGCCCAGAGAACTCAACAGGAAAAAAAAATGAATGGAACATGGAGTATGTTTTGCTGAATGCCGGCATGGTTGTCCACTTCCTTGGTCATTTGGGCTGCTTCGTTTTGATAACCCAAATGGGGATGCATGATATTTACCCATCAATTTCTGGTGCTATTTGTAGTGCTCCATTTCTAGTGTATATTTATAGTGCTCCCAATGGCCCCCATGTTTTGTGAATGGCTTTAAATGGGCATACTTCATGGATAGGTTGATGAGTGTTTTATCAACTCGCGAATTGTCTCAATATTCAATATTTATCGATATGTAGTAACAGTTTTACCCTCTGGTAAACTCACATAACTATGGAAAATCACCATTGTTCATGGGAAAACTCACTATTTCTATGGCCATTTTCAAGTTCGCAAACTGTTGTCGTCATTACCAGGCCGGTTTTTTTTTTTCGGCTGGCTTTCAGCACCGGAAACGGCTGGCTGCTTTTTACATCCAACGGCCAAGTGTCTCGTGGTGGAAGAATGGAGGGAGACCAAGCAGCATGTTGTACCTCGGACACACGGAGACCGCAACATGACATGTCCGATGTTCATAATGTCGGGTAATATCCGGGTAATATGACATTGAGAATAAAAAGAAGTAAACAAAGAAGAACATTCATGGTCCAATATTTCAATAGTCAGAACAATCATCTATAGCCTCCTCATCAACCCCGACCCCCAATCAAGACCCACCCTCAACCACCCAGTTCCAAGCTGCAGTAAAACGCCCAAGTTGTAGATATCCACCTGGCGATGAACTCCGACTAACTCAACGAACCAAGGACCCAATGTTTTTCAGGTTCCATGCTAGACATTTTGGGGATAGATTCACCATATGGAATGGGGGTGTTTCCTAATCCTGTGGGAGAGTTAGGGACTAAAACTACTGGGATATTCATGGGTATTCAGGGGAATTATGTATCATGGCAAGATCGGATGATACATAGAATTATCGATATATTGACCATTGTTTCAGCTTGGGGCCCCAAAACAAAGCAGGAAAACCAGCCATTGAATGGTAGTTGAAGGGACACTATATATGTTGCTGGGTGTTTAATAGATGGTTGTAATGGGTTTGAAACCCTGATTAACCATAGGCTAGATCATGACTGGTATATACCAGTACTGGGGATGATTTTTTAACCAACAAACTATGGTAGTTCAATATTTCAACATCCAAATTTCCACAAAAAATCCAGCATGAACAAAAATAATTACAATTCTTCAACATCCCATTTCCAAATATTCCAAATAAACAACAAAACATACCCTCTAGAGTAAAGTAACAAAATTCGACCCTGAGTCAATCACCCTATTTTTGAGTGGTAAAACACTCATCTCCCCCCGAACAATGCCGAGGGTAACATATGAATCCCCAAAATCCCAAAAGTTGGGCCGACTGGTTTACCAAGCTGCTTGCCCCCCCCGGATCTGAAAAAACCATGTTGGGTTTAGTTCTAATCAACTAGTTGTGAGTTTAACGTCCCTTATATATATATAATCATATAGATGATATGTCTACATATACTGTAAAGATCTATAACATAAACCTAGTTAATCTGGTTAGTTGCACTTAGCTATTGTTAACGGGGCCATTTGGAAACTCCTTCAACCTCCTATATTGCCATTTTCTTGTCGATGAGGTTCCCGGAGTGAGGCTACGCTTCATCCATTTTTTCTTCCACTTTCATCCAGCATCGGGAAAAAACTATGGCTGAGATGCAAAAAATAGCTGTCGAGTCTATGTTTTTCCCAATTCATGGCAAAAAAGACAGACTAGGGTGAAGCAGAGAACCCAGATTTCTGGGAACATATTCAGGGTCTAGTATGGTATACTCTCTCTCTCTCTCTCATCATTTACCGTTTCACTGGCTGTGAAGTGTTTCGGGAACTCCTGTAACAAGCAACTATAGGTGGACACGCAAAGGAACCAATAGAATAGGGGATATGACTATAAACAACAAACAACAAACATGGAGACGTTAACTGTTAAATCCGGAAATACATGGAAATAAATAAAGGACGAACACATACTATACGCAACAAACATGGATATGCAAGCTCCAAAACAGAGATTCCACAAAACATTAGACGACATTAGATACAACCTTTAAAAAAATGCATCTAGCATTTTTCTAGAATTATCCACATGTGGGGTTGTGGCCCCAATTCTATGATGAGATACCGACACTTAGGAAGAACAAGTCTGGTGCCATGGAAAATACGGGAGAAACATCTATTTAAATGTTGGATTTTCCAGCTAACCATGTTTGATGACAAATCATATAATACAAGACAACCAATGTATGTACATATATATATACATATAATCCACTCAATTCACACACACACACACACATATATATATATGTATAGAGTATAATTCAATTTCAACTTCAATATACACATATAATCACAGAATATATATATATATAGTGATATATACGGGCTGATTTTTCTGCACCAATCTGAGATACAGCCATGACTGGATGTACCCACGACCAGGTGCTCCGGCCGTATGTCCATACTTTTGCCCCAGCAGAATCTCCGGTGCCAAGTAAGCAACCTGTAAGGAGCTGAGCCGCACTATGGAAACATCAACAAAACGGTGATTTTTCATGGGGAATTTCACATGATTTCACCATCAACAAAGGGATTATGATGGGGATATGGGTCATCTGTAAATAGTATATTTTCGAGCCAGCCACGTTTGATTACCAGAGGGTGGTCATGTTGCCACGTTCGCCAAACATGGCAATCATATGGGTGTGTCTAAAATAAGAGGAACAATGATGAGTAACCAATGGATGAAATGGGGTACACCAATTTCAAAATAACCATATTAACCCATATTGTTATGTCGGGTTTGTCCATAACTTTGGCGAATGTTCCCCAAATCAACATGTTCGTTGGACAAATAATGACGCATGATGAAACATGGTGTTTTGGCGGTAGTCGACTTGAAGGACGATGCAAGTCACATGGATCTTGGTCCAGATTTGTGGTGGCCTGCTTTGAGACAAAACCAAATATATGGTGTGGGTCTTTGATTGGGTGGATGCATGATCGAACAACAATAAGAGGTAGATTTCCCTTCCCTCCTCACATATGGCAAGGGTGGTTTTCCTACAAACAACACTTTTTATAAAGAAAACCTCTCTGGAAATGGTGACTAAACCAGATTACCAGAGGATAGCAATAGGGAGCCCAGCGGGCGAGCGAACCCATCTCAGGTTGTAACCTGCAGCCCAACCAAAACTTAGGCCGAAGAAACAGATTAGTCAGTATTTTGATGGCTCATCGAAACTCTGCAATGAGAACTTGTACCTAAGCTATATATACTTTCCATCCAGATTCAAGTAACTTCTGAGATACTTTTTTTGGGTATGATTTGTATTGATCTGGATTTATTTTGTTTCTTTGGGGGTTGAGTATCTTAACAAAGCGCGTATTTGAATCCACAGAAGGGCAAGAAATGGCAAGGATCTTGATTCATGGGTTTGTTTGAAAATAGGGTGCCTAGTAAACATTGCCTTTTGGGGGTGAACTTCGGTCAAATTCACCATGTTCAATCAAACCGACATCATGGCAACTTGGAAAAAATAGAATTATCATAGATGATCCCACTTGTATCTCCGGTATATCAGTTATATCACTCCGCAGCGGCACCAGCACCCAGCGCAACAGCACTCTGACAGCAGCACCTTGCAGCAGCACTCTGCCCCGCTTTAGCGAGCCTACTTTTCGACCCTCCGGAGCCACAAGACATTGAACAAACAACAGTGTTTCGCGACTTTTCTACCTTTTCCGCAGACATATACCATCATATACCCAGTGGCCATGTATTACCAGAGTGGATTTAGGGATCCAATTTCTCCCGTTTCCACTGCCGTCAAGAGACCGATCCACAATGCGTACGCGTCCCCAAATGACGTCGCACCTGGGTGCGAGCCAAGGGGATCTTGCCGTGCGAGCAGACCAGACCATGAGTTACTATAGGTGTAACCGCAACTGTACCAACTCGAAGACATACATTACCAAGAAATGGTTATATGATGTTATATGATGTTATATGATGTTATATGATGTATTATGATGTTCTATGTTGACAGCATTCGACAACAGGTACCAGCTTGCTACCAGCTTGGAGATATCAACTAACATCGATGATCCAACAAGTGCCCATTTCCGGCTCCATTTTTCGTGGTTTATAACTAACCCCAGATACCAAAATGCTCTAAATCTCAATCAAATACACATCAACTCCCTGGTTCAATCGCCATTTTCCCATGGTTTTTCTCTGGCTCCAATTTTTGGCCTCAGGTAGGCACCGGGATTCACACAGTTTCCAGTCAGCCATGGCTAATGGGGTTCATCCCTAGCGGCTATCCTTGGTCCAAGGAACTCCATCCTTGGATAAACCAAAATCCGTCAACATGGCATGGCCTGCTGCATCCAAGACAACCTGCTTCGCTGGCGCTGTCGAAACGGCGGTAAACCAAGATCTGTTGGCGGGATGGGTTGAAAGTGGGGAGCCTGCTTAATATGAAAGTCAATGGGGTTGGGATGACATCCCATATATGAAATGGAAAATAAAATTCATGTTCCAAACCACCAACCAGGTGAAAATCATGGTGGGGACCCTGGTTACGATAAGCTGGTTGCTGGTTTCCAAGTAGAGTTTATCATAAACGATACTTAATTTACTTATATATATATTTGTACCAACTTATAACTGGGGGTGAGGGACCACTTTGTGGGAAGGCAGGATTTCTACCATAGTGTACGGAACCATGCTACATATGATCTGTCAATCAGTATCAGTGACACTGACAGTCAGTTGCCAAAACTGGTGAATCTGACCTGCCCAAAAAAGACGATTTTTCTTAGCCGGTTAGGACGAATTTTATCATTAAACGATTAAAGTACAGTATCTAACCAGTTGGTTGATCTAGGAGAACCCAGGCATCGGTGTACACAGGCCCACATAGCTCCCGATTACAAGCATACTTCTAGCAACCATCTCCTGTGGCGGTTCCTAATATGACGAACCTTCTTATCTTTAGATCCGCGCTTTTTGTGAATAAAATCGCGACCTGTCTGCCTTTTCCCACTCTTTTGGCAACGATATAACCTACACATTGCCTCTGCCCTGAACATACTTGGAATCAATATCGACTGGAATCCACGAATTGAAGTTGTTGCCTGCCATTTTTGGTATTGTTTTGTTTGTGAAGTGTGTGCAATCATGTTCTTGCTAAGAAACACCGGGGGTCCAGAAATCTATGCTCAATCTGAACCATTGTGCGGCTCAAAATTGGGTACCGTTCTGGAGCCACACAAATGCTTTTTTTGGGTAGTTATTGAACATTGAAACCTCTTTCAAACATGTCCAAAACCATAGTAATTGAACAAACCCAAAACAACAGTAACACATTAATGTCATCAATTTGAACATGCTCGAACCATACTCGTTTTAGTAGACACAGTCTGATGGCGATCCGTTCAACTCTATAGGACAACGTCCAACGAGTCCAACACCAGGTCGCATTGTCGGGTTTCAAGTCCCGATACACGATGTTCCTGGCCATCGCCAAAAAAAGGTGCGGCTGGCCGTTTAGCTACTTCAGCAGAAACGGCGAGTTACTATAGGATTTAGCGAGATTTGGTTAGCCAAGTTGGTTGAAATAACTGACAGAATTGTTGGTTGCCTCAAAAATGGCATGTTGATGGGGCTCAATGAGGGTCCAAGAAGGGCCCCGGCCCGCAGTTATGTTTGTTGACTTGTAGCCCCATCAAACTGTAGAGATATGTAGAGATATCATTATATCCAACATAAATCCATTGTTAGGCTTGCGGGAAAACAAAACGACATCAACACATAACTTGCCATATGGTTTCGGTGCCCCTGCCTCTATCCTACGTTCGGCAAACCCAACTAGTTGAGACCCACCCAAAAAAGGAGTGGAATACATGACATCCCAAATCCGAGAATCCGAGAATCGAGGCCTGTGCTTGGGTCTGTCAGCAGCTGTTTGCATGGCAAGACCTTTTTTTTGTTGACCCACCATTGCTTGTTGTGTGAGTTCGGTAAAACCCTCTAATCTGGATCATTTATAACCTATAGGATCCATGGTGCTGGTATATATGCTAACATTTGGGGTATATTGATGGGATCCATGTTACCATATATAGCAGCACCATGGATCCTATGATAATAATAACAGTCCCGCGGTCCGAATTTGAGGCAGCCAAAGATTGCTGGGTGCCCAACGTCGTTGCTGCAACCCAGTTGCTGCAACCCTGAACAACTTGCCATTCACCAGTTGCTGCTAGAGATTTTACCCAGCATTTTTTCGGCACCAAAAACATCATTTCACCCACCAAAAACATCCCGAGAAAAAAAGAAAAGCACCTCACCACGTCCCCTGCCCCCTTCGACAAACGCCGTTTCCACGGCAGCCGCCCATCGACAAACGCGCCTTTCATGCAGGTGCTGTAAAGCCAAGAGCAGCTCCGCTGCATAGAGCTGCGCCAAAGGCATTGAGAGGCCCTGCAGCTTCCGACCTCATCAGGCCGGGTTTGGCTGGTTGATACCCCAACAAGAATGAGCTTTAGATATGGTTTAGTTTTTGGGGGTAGTATAGGGGTTGAGTAGGATAGTAATGGAATGTAATGAATAGTTTACATAAAGTGAATCCATCCCTCCAAAAACAGTTCTTCAAGACACAGGACAGGAGCTGTGGATTTGTCCAGACCCAGGCAGCGATTCAAGCTGCTTGAGCTATGCTGAGTGAAGCTACCAAGATCGGAGATGGTCAAAACCATTTGACCCATTGATTTCAACAAATTATGGATTGTACATGGTCATTGTTTAAAAGATTTAAACGGGGAGGAGGCCGTAGGAGGCCGTAGAATTGACAACACGCAGTATGTGTACAAGAAGGGAATTCCGATCTATGGGCTACCCATTAAATATCATACAATCATTGAGTTCTGTGGATTTGTCCAGACCCAGGCAGCGATTCAAGCTGCTTGAGCTATGCTGAGTGAAGCTACAAAGATCGGAGATGGTCAAAACCATTTGACCCATTGATTTCAACAAATTATGGATTGTAAATGGTCATTGTTTAAAAGATTTAAACGGGGAGGAGGCCGTAGGAGGCCGTAGAATTGACAACACGCAGTATGTGTACAAGAAGGGAATTCCGATCTATGGGCTACCCATTAAATATCATACAATCATTGAGTTCTGTGGATTTGTCCAGACCCAGGCAGCGATTCAAGCTGCTTGAGCTATGCTGAGTGAAGCTACAAAGATCGGAGATGGTCAAAACCATTTGACCCATTGATTTCAACAAATTATGGATTGTAAATGGTCATTGTTTAAAAGATTTAAACGGGGAGGAGGCCGTAGGAGGTCGTAGAATTGACAACACGCAGTATGTGTACAAGAAGGGAATTCCGATCTATGGGCTACCCATTAAATATCATACAATCATTGAGTTCTGTGGATTTGTCCAGACCCAGGCAGCGATTCAAGCTGCTTGAGCTATGCTGAGTGAAGCTACAAAGATCGGAGATGGTCAAAACCATTTGACCCATTGATTTCAACAAATTATGGATTGTAAATGATCATTGTTTAAAAGATTTAAACGGGGAGGAGGCCGTAGGAGGTCGTAGAATTGACAACACGCAGTATGTGTACAAGAAGGGAATTCCGATCTATGGGCTACCCATTAAATATCATACAATCATTGAGTTCAACTTACTGTAAATACACCTCTGAATTCAGTTTAAACTTAAGCAGTCACTGCAACTGGACCCCCAGAATGGAATCCCGTGACATGATCGCCTGCAAGGTCGTGCCCCCCCCCCAAAAAAAAAAGTTGTTTTTTAGAAATTACAAACCCAAGATCTCAGCTATTTCGACCAACTGAGCGAACTAAATCCATCATTCTTATGGTAACTCACCATTTCTGCTGATTTTCAGTAGCCAAGTTATCCATCCGTTCACGACCCTGGCGGCCTGGCCCCGAGATTTTTCGGTCAAGCATCCGAGACGTCGAATGAGTTGCTGCAGGTTCCCACCTGGGCAGTATTGCATCACCAGCACCTGGACAGGGCAAAAATGTAAGGGGGTCGGCCCGGGGTCGGCGAAGCTGTGGTATGTTTTTTTGTGGCTGTTCACATCACTTAAGGAGCAGTGTTGTAATATGTTGTAATGATATATGTAATATATATATATATGTATGTACTGTAACGATGTTTTTTGTTCATGTGAACATGATATTCGTATCCCAGGAATCGTAAGGGCTCAATAACGCGCTCTTTTGATTGTCCATATGTAACACGAAATCCAGGCATCCTGTTAATTTTGCACCAAAGTCGGCCAGCTATTGCTAGCCACCAGTCATGTTGAGCAGGAACAACAGCAACAGCAACAGCAGGAACAACAGCACCACCAGCAGCAGCAGCAGGAGCGGCAGCAGGGAGCGAGGAGGATGAGGAGAAGCGAGGGTGAGGAGCAATGGAGGCAGATAAATTGCTGTGGCTCTTTTGCTATTGCTGGTTGCTGCAAATATATACAGTAGGTTTGAAAAGCCGGGTATGTTACAAAAAGAGAGAATTCATGGGGTATGATTCGGGGGTATGATTCGAGGTGCCTCTACTTCTGTTCCCTTAAAACTTTGAACCCCACTAAACACACCAATATATATATATATAAATAACAAATATATGATATAATACATATTGGCTAACAAGGGGTTATAAACATGTAAACCCATTCACAACTATAAAGGGGCCACCTTGTAAAGCAACCCAATTTCAATAAATCCTTATTCATTGTGAGCACCCCAAACTGCCATTATCAAACATTACTATCAAACATGATATAAATTGATATAATATTGATATAAATTGAAATGGAAATATTATGATATAGACTATTCAAACATTATATTATATATATATATGTAATTTCTGTATAATCTTTCCACATCTTTCCCAAAAAAACATCAGAAACAGTCGAGCAGTGGAGCCATCTGACGCCCCATGGCCCATTGGCCCATAGCCCGCCCCAATTTCCTAACATGACTTTGGCATCGCGGCATCGCGACTCAAATAATAAAGCCCAAGATTCATGGTTCATCATGGTTCAATGTCTACCTACGGTGCCCCCAATCGTTAAACATTTCTCTCAACTAATGACTAAGCCTAACGCTCCATGGTAGATATATCGAACGATCGTATGAAAACAAGTTCATGGGTGTATAATGGTTTCTAGAAAAGTGCAAGTACACCCGTTCGTCCGTATATACAAAGAGTTATATGGAGGTTTCCTAAAATAGGGGTACCCCCAAATCATCCATTTTAATAGGATTTACCCTTATAAACCATCCATTTGGGGTACCCATATTTATGGAACCCCCTATATTGGTCTTTGCCTGCACAGTGCGCTGCTGGTCTTCAAACCCCCCAGCTGCGTCAGCCCGGTGCGGCACCAAGTGCTTTGGCGTTTGAAAGGCATAATGCAACGAGACCTGAGCTGCGACAGCACTTCTGTACAAACTCAACGAGAAACTTGAATCATGGTTGAAGGTTTACCGGTTGACCCGACATGTCAGAAAGACATATTTGTTTGAGGCCAAAAACACTTCGATAATTAATAGTCTTGGTATATTTTGGCGTATGATAGTTACCACATCACCCCAAATCACCAGCAAGCATCCAACTATTACAGTAACTGTTGTGGGTATCAAGCCATGTTTGCCCCATCATACGATCGATATCTACCATAAACCAAACAGTGACATGAGCCTTATTTCAACCAACTTGGTTTTTATAAACGCTAAGAAACTGGGGCAGCACCTTGCATATAAGCCTATATGTGGGACGCTTCAAGTGATCATTTTCCACGTTTTTTCATGTTGTTTCCCCATGTTCAGGTCAATCTGCAGGAGTCGCTGCCAAAGACCAGCAAGGTCACATCTTTCTCTGGACAATCAATATGTGATACATCCCCTTATTTCTTGGACAACAGAGTATCTTGTTTTTTTGGTTTTCAATCATCTTTGTCAATACCTAAACTCAGACCTTCATTAAACCCATTGAAATTGATGTTTACCCAAAAATATGTGTTGTGAAAACCTGTCTATTCTTGGATCTTTCATATTGGAAACAAAAAACAAGTAGCTGACTCATTGATGCAGCTCCCGATTCTGCCTAGGAGGTAGATTTAAATGTCACGATACACATAAAGACAAACAACAGAATGGGTTTATAAATCGGCCTATCTAAATATCCCCCTCAAAAAAAGTGGTTCAACATCGTTTAACAAACCACAGGTGAGTGCATCCTCTAACATGTTCTCAAGTGACGATGTATGGATGTTGGATGTAGGACAAAATGTTGCGTTCCGTGAAGGCGTAGCGCAGCAGGTTGCTTCCCATCACTTTCTCCTGGGCTTGGAGAATCTCCTTGGAGGTGTCCAGTGATGTGAACATTGATTTCGATTCAGCCCATGAATACTATAGCTAAAAAGATGTTAAAAGTAGCATAAACCATCATAGCTATATTTAACAATCATGATGATGATAATGATGACAATAAACCATATATATAGTTATTTTTAATGAACACCAACTTAGCTACTTAGCTATCGTTTGGGGGCCCCATGGGGCACCACTTTCTTGGAGTCAGTGGAAGCGGCAGTTGCGAGAAAAGGTGTTTGGAACATCCTTTGAAAACATGTCCCAAAGAAAGATATCAATATAGTCACCCCCGGAAAGATAGAAAAGTAACTGATCAACATGTGAGTGGGATTTTACCGTTCGATCTTTTTTTCGGGTTGCTATACTCAGGTATTGAGTCGCCCACATGGAATTCCTGAAAATGATGTGTGTGATTCCTAAATATGCCCACTGATGGAAATTGGTTCTCTCTTGTGTTTTCACTAGCCAAATTTCCTACAAACACCAATGACCAACAATCGATGACGCAGTGATGTGATCTCTACAGTATACTGATTTCGCATGGTTTCACCATCAATGGATACGAATGACCAACAATATCCTTGTTAAACATGTTCAGGTCAATTGGTGATATTCTTCGTTTAAATTCGTATAAACATTAATATAATACAGCATTCAATGACCAAGTACCGAATAATCAATTGCTCCGTAAACATGCAAAAAAAATGCAACAAAATCCACCAGTGGCTAAAAGTGCCCACAACACTGCCGTTTTTATTTCCCTAAACCGAGATCTTCACCATCGCAGCTACCGAGGAGGGGATGGTTTAGGAACAGTTTTTCGTGTGGCTTGTCCACATTAAACACGCTAACTGAATTAACTGAAATTGACTAGTTATCATTCACCATTTATGAAAAAAGTGGTTTATATCAATTATCAAACACTATTAACCACCACTATGCATTGACTAATTATCCCCAAAAAAATCTCAACTTCTGAACCATGGGCGCACCTTGTGCAGAACTTTCATGGCATAGCTCCGACCGTTGCTTTTCTGCTTGACGTGGAAGACCTCGGTCCGGTCAGAGCCCCAGAGCCCTGCCCTCTTTGTCCATGGCACGGAAGATGTCCATTCCCCGAAAAAATGATGTAGAAGTATAGGATAGTATAGGATGTATAGCTATTGATAGCCAACTAGCCAACAAGCACAGAAAAGATCATTGAAAGTTTTTGAAAGTCATCTGCCACGAACTGAATGGCGTTTTGAAGCCAGTTACGAACTAAAAAAAGGGCCCATCGACACGACGTGGGCAAACATTGGGAGATTCACGTGGATTCGCACCGCACAAATGGGACAGAATCTGCATGGAGACTGAAACAACTGCACGATGAGTATCGGTTACTGCTCAATTTGGGTGCGGTATGAGGATTGGAATTTAGCCGCATCTGTGGGAATGTCAGTGATTTAGGGTGATTTTCCAATCCCAAATATAACAAAACAAAAGTGTCACCTTCCAAAAAGGAAAAACTTGAAAAACAACTAAAACATATTACTTTATTTAATGGGATTTCCCCTTTTTCCATCTTTTTTGGGGTGACTATAACTTTTCTATTTTTTTTTTGCAGTGACTATAACCCCAAAACAAACATCAACCAACAAAGCTTTAGCATGCCATGGAGGCGGCCTCCCCAAAGGCACCGCGACCCAGTCGCACGAGGAACCTTAGCAGTGGCCGTTTCCTGGTGCTTTCAACCGGAAAAACATGTTCGTGGCTGATGAACATTGGATTTCAATAGGAAAATATTGATCACCCAATGACGCACATTTTTTCATCACCCAATGAATATTCTCCAACCTACTTGTTCAACAGGAGAATATTGGATGATGTTTTCAATAGTTTCTATTTTCATGATCCCAGGTCGCTTGGAAAATTCAACAAATGAACCATTGAAGACCAGCAACCAGGATTGCGGGAGATTATATGCTCATGATCTTCCTATTACAGTATATATCTGGTTGGTGGTGCAATAACCATCTTGAAAAATATTAGTCAATGGGAAGGATTATCGCATATATTATGGAAAATAACAACTGTTTGAAACCACCAACCAGATATATATATATATACATCCTATCATCTCAAATCCGGTGTGAAAATCAAACTTCTTTGAAACCGCTCAGCACATACGATAAACAATGCAGTGATCCCAAGGACAAATTGCAGGAAATGTTGTTGTTCTTTTACCATCAAATAAAAGGTGTTCCTGCAATGTGTCCCTGCATCCAAATTGAGGACATACCCACAAAAAAATACAAAAAACATGATAACGATGGGTGCTTCGTAATTTTTCAATCCAGACCATTCGTTCACGCATCTTTCTTGGTACTTTGGGGTCACGTGGCTACACTTCAATACACTAAATACCATGCAAAATGCAAACACTTGCAAACACAAATTATTTATGTATATGCTGTATATATATATATAAATACATATGAGTTTGTCTGGCAATGTTGGAAACCCCAAACTCATGCATGCATAGATCAAATGTTAATGAACCATTGGACTCTGTGGGCACTTTGTTTTCAGACAAACCCATATCATGCTTTGCTATTGTATTTTGTGGTTGATTTATCTTCCATTTTTTTCTTGGGGGTGCATCCCAACTACTAAGTGATTACTGCAAGTGGTTAATCAATAATAAACCTGTATATATATATATCCATATATATATCCATATATATATATATATATCCATATATATATCCATATATATATATATATCCATATATATATATCCATATATATATCCATATATATATATATATCCATATATATATATATGTATCCATATATATATATATATATCCATATATATATCCATATATATATGTATCCATATATATATATATATCTATCTATCTATCTTGTACCTGGCCTACTACTAACTTACATCCACTGAAACTGCACGTTGTCGTTTCAATACATCACCCACAACGACTCACCAAACCAAGGACCGACGGTGGAACAAAGCACTTCGAGATCCACTGGCATGTTCGGAAATGAAAGGAGTGAAATGACCTCTCAAGTACTGGAATGGTTTCTTCCCGGAATCCGCACACTTCGATCCTGACCTCTCAATTTGATAAAATTTCATCATCCTTCATCCACCATGATCCCCTGAAAATCTCATCCCCAATTCTCGAGTTCTCCAAGCAGCTCGAAACTATTTGGTCCAATCTCTTGGTGCACGCTCTCGCGCAGCTTGGTGAAACTGCAGTTGCTGGTACGACCTGGCACAACTGAGGCGAAGGGAAGAAAGTTTTTCAAATGGTATCATGATTAATGACATTACAAATAGAATTATATATGGAATTTCTTATAAATATACAATCGCTTATCTGTAAATCAAAACCATCATGATAATGATTAAACATATCTAAGATATTATCAAAGATAATGGTATCCTTCAATCTGGTTACTACAATAGGTTTCCACTTTATAATCATGATAGAATATTATAGATAGGTTCTGTATCGATAGATCATCAAATAGGTCATATTTGCTCATGAACCTTTAATTTAAACATGATTAAAACACCACTATGGTTTATCCAAAAATGATCACCCACCCAAAAAAAAACACTTGGTTTCTGAAGCCGGGCTGGTCCAAAAATGGAGGACTCACAAAATTGAACAGTTCATCCGGAAACATGATGTGATAAACCCTTCAAATGGCACGGATAAAGCCTTTTCAAGGCTGGCTGTTCTCAGAGGAGCCATGAAAGTTATAACATTTATACCCGAACATATCCAATCCCAATGTATGTGCATGTATAAATATAATTGTATATACTGGCTGATAGGTGGGTATCCTATTATGGATTGCAATATTCAATAACTCCGGATAAACCAGCAAGTAAAACCCCCTATGATAGCCACCGGCAAGGTATTCTTAGTGGCTCAAATGGTTTCATCTTCTATGTTTACAGTTAGTTGTCTCCGTCCAGAAACACGTGTAGCTATGATAAATGATGAGCCCATTGTTAAATCTGCATTGGCCTCATCAAATATTTGACCGACACAAGAAGGAGCGTACAATTAGTTGGATTTGTTTAAGGAGCTTCCAAAAAGTACAAAATGTTCAACATAGATTCCCCAAGTAGTGGATTTCCGATGGGGGAAATCAAAAGAAACTATTTTCAGCAAATCCAAAGCTAATCACTAATTATGACCATGAATCGCTAATCATCACCTTTTTTTCAATCAAACATATTCAGCAGTTCCGAGAATTTGTACAAAATGAAGCATGTT